CTTAATATTTTATATTATAAGGAGAACATTCTTGCTGGTTTAAATCGAAATCGAAATTTTATGTCAATGTTTATATAAAGATAAAGGCAATATTCAACATAAACATGATACGTTTTTACCTACAGGTATATTCCCAGTGAAAATATGAAATGTTAATAACAATTTAAATAACATTAAAAAATATTTAATTTATCCTAAAAATATGAACAATTGGGTTATCTGGTGTTTTTCACTGATGTTTAAAAGTTTTGTTTCATTTTTGTCTCGTGTCAAATACCGAACCCAAGCCACGAACCCCTCTTGAAGATAACGCTACCATGTTTTTCGTTTTCAATGAAACCTAATATTTCTCTTGCTTTATAACATCTATACTAACTATGTATGATTTTGTACACAGATTAAAAATTAAATAATCATTCACCAGTGCGATATGGTCCTATTCATTCCGGAAGACGTTCAAGGCCTGTACAAATGCAAGTCCAAGTTAATTTAATGGAAAATTCTATATTATGTTAATAGTATTCATAATTAATGTAAAGATCACAACTTTATCATAAAAATTAGATCGCATTGTTCAGAAATATAGGTCATTAACATCATAAGGGAGGTCGGTATCGGGGGCTCGGATAGAGGTCTTGTTGACGTTGGAAGATTTTAATGAGGTGAACCTGAAGCCATTAAAGGTCCAGCCAGCCGCCCTGACCAAGGTGACACAACACTCACCAAGAACCTTTAACCCTGCAGTTTAATGGACTGATTACCTACTCAAGATGTGGGCTGATACGTTATTCATCGTCTTTATTTCTATCTGCACGGCGCTGTTTGGTGAAGGTGAGTATATAGCCTTGTTGAGGGACGTGTGGAGCCATACAGTACAGTACTGGGGGTAGATATTATGTAAAATTGTCGTACAAGTCCACTTGGTTCATCATGTCGTACATAGACAAGGAGTGCATCCCATGGTAAACTGCAAGTCGAGTTGATCAAGTATAACCCAAATAACTACAGAACAGTGTGTCTCAATAAGGAGGTGCACACTGGGTTAGGTTGTTTATAACGTGCAGTCATTAGTGTCTTGTGCTGTGGGCATTACTTAAACTAATCCTCATTGAATGAGTATCGTTTCTTACTTTACAAACAAGATAAACCTGTTTGTTGTGAGTGGTTTAGTCAGTGAATTTGAGGTAAAAGAGGAACCGATGGTTAGCACCCAAACGCATTTATATATTTTGTTCATATTTTCCACAGCTGTTCTCTGGATGATATTAGCTAATAGGTAAATTTGCACTTCCACCTCCCACTGTTAGAAAGTCAAAAATATATTTTTCTAGTGTATTTGTGTGTTGAGACCGCATATGACCTTAATTTCCGTCGGAAATTGGCCGGTTTTTTTGTCGATTTTTTTCGTGGGACGTTTTTTGAAAAAAAAATAATGGCTAAGCGAATAAAAAATACACCAAAACACACTAGAAAAACAAAAACCTAACCTAACCTAACTGACTCTCACCGTATGATGGAATCGCCTATTTCTTACCTTACTGTTCGTCGTTGGGTTCTGAGATTCTTACACAACGCCACATATGTTGGCCTTTGCGATATTTATATTTAGTCTTGCACTTAGTACACTTTACTGAGGTTGGAAGAACACCATGCGATCGAAAAAATGCTATAGTTTCTTCGTTTTTTCCCCAAAAACTCGCAATCAGCTCCATATAATTGAAGTGACGCCCATCGTAGACTTCCATGGTGGGAAATGAATTTGAATTTGGAAATATGAGACCCAAAATAAAAATCGATTTTGATTGGGCCAAAAATACCGTGAATTAAATCAAATCATTTTAATTGGTTGCAAAAAAAAAAAAACCTTTTGATTGGTCGTGTGACGTGTACGGGAACGCATGTGCGTGATGATTTATGAAGGAGACACGCAGTGTGAGAGGTGAGTAGGCAATAATGGCGGAAGATTAATGGAAGAAAATAGAGAAAATTTTAGATATGCTATCTCCGTTATTATACATTTGCGACGGTAATGTAATAGATGAAAATGATCTTATAATTAGACCTCTTATTAGAATATGGTAATAGATTAGTGGCTGGAATGTGGAATGTATAAACGCAAAATTACCAGCTAAAAAATGGTGGTAAATTTTTACTTTAGGACACGAGTCCCTCGGGGTTGACCAATATGTTTTTCTAGTGTATTTTGGTGTGTTTTAAATGACCCTGGACATTTTTCGTCATTAAATCCTGTAGTTAATGCAGACTGATTGGAAGAAAAAAGTTTATAATCATAGCAAAAAACCATGGCACTTGACGCAGAGAATATCATCCATCTTTTTCTCCTTTGGCAAGCTTTCGAAAAAAATTTGCTTTATACAAGTACCTGGCTTTTCCATCATCATAAGTTCAGCTGAGGTATTCAGGTTTAGTGCATCCAAGTCCTGTTGAAGCTTTTTCTGAGAAAAGTAGCCGCATAATTCATGTGTAATGTCAGTCCACAATGCGGGATCCTCAGGAAATATCACTGTTTGTCCTTCAAAAGACTCACTGAAACACTGTCACTTACAAATTGATAATACCCAGAGAGAGTAAAGTACAGATATATTATAAACAAATATAAAATAAAATGTAAATGTAGTTATATACAGTACAGTATATTAAGTATTATACTAATGATACTGATTATTATCAACTTCAGCTGAAGTCATTACCAATTTGAGGTTTTGTACCAAATCATGCTTCCTCATTACCAAACATTTTTCATTACTAAATTTGTCCCAATTTGGTAATGAATGATGCCAAATGGCAGCGCTGCTTGATTCTGCTTTCTTCTACTCCGGTTCAGGGGAAACTTAGCAAGGCCTCATAAGGGGCACAAAATTTTCACTCTACGGCTTCAGAACATATAATACATATGCTGATAAAGTATACTACAGTAATATCTCCCTTACCAGGAATCCCTCAAACCTGGAACGCTCCGATAGCCGGAATTGAAATTTTCTCGAAAAATTGTTCCCAAAACAGGAATTTTCTGACCAATTCCGGCTTTGGGATTGATTTTCCGAGGGGCACATTTTCCGGAAAATTCAGAAATAATTCCCTATACCCGGAAAATTCCGGGGATAGGGGAGTTTTTTTCTGGGTTTGAGAGATGAAAATCAGGCGCATTTTTTTAAAATGCAGTGTTTTCTTTTAAGTATAAATCTATTATGCACATTTACTAATTTTTCTTGTTCAATTAAAGTGTTTTCATTTTTTCAGGGCTAACTTGGCTGCTTGTGTACAGGACTGAAAAGTATCAGAAGTTAAAAGCAGAGGTGGAGCGCCAATGTAAGCGATGTGAGTAATATCCTTGTTGAGTTTTATTTTATTTTTTTGGCAGACTTGATGTTGGTGCATGGTGTTGGGGTGATGGAGAAGATATCTTGGAGCCTTGTAATGGAACAATACTGTTTATGGGAAAGCCAATATGTGCATTAGTGCAAATTAAGTCTTGCAAGCGTGAAAAGAAAATTCAAATTCACATAGTTTAAGGAGATAGAAAAATGCACTCTTACACCAGACAAGTCACCATAATGAAGGATAGGCCATTAAGTCTGGAGACAGGGATCGAGTCTTTGCGGCAGTACCTCCCACCACACTTGAATACAGTACAACTCTTATGGTAGAGGGATCCACTTGAGTGTTTATCTCACCACTTTTCAGTCTTTATATATGGATATTGTCCTATTGTTTAATGTTACTGTATTTACAGACATAACTTAAGTTTGGTACTATAGCATAAAGCTTAATTTTTGTTCATTTATATTTTATCTTACAGTGGAAAAAAAGAAAGAGGCTCATGGAGACAGCATTGATCGACAACAAAAACGGAAAATAGAGCGAGAAGAGGAAAGACTCAAGAATAGCAACCGAGACTTGTCGTTGGTTAAGATGAAAAGCATGTTTGCAATTGGCTTTGCTTTTACTGCATTACTCTCCATGTTCAATTCAATGTAAGAATCTTGTATATCTTTACTCTTATTCTTGCCACAGTGTTACTTATCTGTTGATGGTTAGGTCAAAGTACACTCTTCCTTTTAGGTCTTGTGATAGAACAGCCAGCCAGCTGTCTTCCTTAGAATGTCCTCACAAATCTTGTGCAACTTTACCTCTAACCTCAAAAACTGATTCCACCAAGACTTAAAGATCACCTTAGTCCTACTTCACCCTGAATTCCTTCTTCATGAGAAGTTATGATAAACAAGAGTCTGGTAGTAATTTTCTTCATTTACTGTAATTTTCCCCCGGAGGAAAAAGTTTTTAATACAGTATTTGATTTTTTGACAAGTACAGTATATAGTATGTGAAATACAACATTTTCTGTCTAACCAAAACCTTCATTCCAGTTAATTGCAGGAGGAATAAGGTCAGCCAGTCAGTGCTAATACATATACTTTAATTCAATACTGTACTGTACATTTATTAGAGCAGAGATTGAATGTTACTTGATCCATCATATTTAGAAACAGAAGAAGGTACAGTCCCCTTCACTTGTGTGTTTAATATTAATAATAATAATTAAATGTTTATTGAAAAGCATGACAGCCGGAGGGCTGAAAATATACAGTTACATAATTGGGGAATGGGTCTCTTGATTTACAAATAATATACAAGTAACATAAGTGATACAAATACCTGTATGATATATAATAACTAGGTTGGGAGAAGCTCAAACTACAGGGCATTTCATCATAGTGACAGTGCAAAAAGTAAGATTGACTGGGAGTGAATACACTGGTTGATTACAAGTTATTGATAATTTTTACTATGGTTGGGACTGGGCTGTTTACAGGGCTCGTCATGAAAGCATTCCACAAATCATTACATTGAGATATTTGTTTTAATATTGTTTTACTTGATTCCATATTATGTTTACTATTGCGACTTTCCTTCTGTCAAATGTAAACAAACACAAGGCTGTCACACTGCACAAGACTTGGATATAAATTCATGTCACTCATCAGTGACATGATGACTTCTTACTTTGATATCAAGGCAGTGTGATGGTGAGGCTGCTGCTAATTATTATTATATGGAGATGCAATATACGGTAAGTATTTACTCTTGCTTTCATCTCTATTTATTTATTTATTTACTTAATATTTTTTTTTTACGGGAAATAACCCACCTGGGCACAGGTCATTGACCTATCATTGACCTACAACGGGGCCTGAGGGGCGAAAAATAAGAGCAAAAAGAAATTAGAAATACAGTGGTCCCTCGGTTAATGAGCGCCTTGGTTAACGAGATTTCGGTTAACGAGTTACCTTCCATAAGATTCTTAACTTCGGTTAACAAGCAATCCCTCGATTAACGAGTTTCTTATGAGCCGACCTGAACATGTTTTCGCTTGCATTTGGCGGTCCACCAGCTGTAGTATTAGTCCGCCAGTACAGTAATCGGTTCTACGGCTTAAATTCCTTACCATTTTTGTAAATATCAAGAAGTTTATACTATTCAATAATTTTAAAAGTTTAATATTAAATTTTTTTAGTAATTTTAACAATTATTGAACATAATTGAAGGTAAGGTCACTAGTTTCATGCGTGCCATCCAGCCTGCCAACACACCATACAGGCGTCAGTCTTTGTGTCTTTTCAGTGGAAGTAACATCTTGCTTGAGACTCTCTTCAACTAAATGCTTTTTTCTGTGTTTGCAAGCAAATTATTGGTCATTTTGAAATTTATTTTACATATTACACCAAGAGAACTTCCACCTCAATGCCTTCTCTTCTCCTTCACCCCCATTCTAATTCCCATCATCATCATCATCATCCAGGAGCCTTCTACATACACACCTCAAAGTGTACTTTTCTACCTTTTTTGTTGAATTTAGGCAATTTTCGGTGAGCTGGAACCAATTACCCCAAAACCCATTGAAACAATGGTTTCGGTTAACGAGTTTTCGGTTAACGAGCAACCTTCTAGAACGGATTGTGCTCGTTAACCGAGGGACCACTGTAGAAAAGAAAAAGATTATATTAATCTACACCACGAAGATGCCGGAAAACTAGCTTTTTAAAGTGAGACATTGTAGAGTATGGAAACACAGAAGAAGGCAGAGCATTCCATAGTTTGGCTGTGTGAGGAAAGAAGGATGTACTATAACGGGTGATTCTAGTGTGACCGACAGCCACAGAGAAACAGTGGGCACCGCGGGCAAGACGTGTGTTACAAGCCCACGGCCTTGCCGGCTGTACACAGGATGCCAAATCCACCGAACATTGTCCGTTAAAATACCTGTAAGAGAGAGAGAGTGAAGCAACATTATGGCGAAGAGAAAGGTAAGAAAGATTATAAACTAAAGGAGGAGAGTCAATAAGATGAAATGCCTTTAATTCCACCCTATCTAACATTTGGACAGAAGAAGAGCCACCCCAGATATGAGAGCAGTTCTCCACGTTATGACGAATGAATCCCTTATAAACTTGAAGCAACTGCTCAGGAGTGAAGTAGCTATAACATCTTTACAGCATTCCCAGCTTTCGGGAGGCAGCTTTAGCAAAGTTGTGGATGTGTGGCTTCCATGACATATTAGAGGAAATGGCGAGGCCTAACATATCTATTTTAGAACTTGGCAGAATGATTGCATCCCAAAATGTGATTGGTGGGAGATCATATAATTTGGAAAGTGTAATTGGTAAATACAGTGAGTTCTGCTATAACGCGTGTTTTGACAACGCGAATTGGCTCTAACGCGGTTTATGAATAGAGGTACGATATTTGTAAAAAATGAACGCTTGTTTGCTGTAACGCGATTTTTGCTTACTATTTCTCCAATTTTGTGGTATTAACTGTGAATATGGAAAAGAAGAATATCTCCAAGAAGCGTTCTGGTGATCACATTCCTGGTGATGATCGTAAAAGAAAGGCTATAACCCTTGAAGAGAAGCTCGATGTTATCAACCTCAAATTCACCCTTCTCCCCCATCAAGTTATATTCATATTTTTTCAAGGTAAAGTGTTACATTTACTGAATGATTTCATTATTAGATATGAATGTAACATTTATTTAGACTGTACTATCCTTTGTGTTAGGCTAACTACTAAATTTTTTACGATTTCGAGTAATCTGCACCTAACCCTATTTTCTCCATAAGCCCTGTTATTTCTATTGCGCGAATTTCTATAACACGATGTTTTACAAGAACACAACTATCGCATTATAGCAGAACTGACTGTATTGAGTTTTATTACTATTGAATTTAACCAAGTTTCTACCATTCGGAGATGCTGCACAGATCCACATTGATAGATGAAATGATATCACCTCTAGAAAAATATCTAGTTTGAGAATTAGGGGGAACGGGAAAATGTGAAGAAGAGTGAAGAGTAGAAGCATCAGCGTAAGAATGGATAGAATTAGTCGTAGTGTGAAGTAAATCATTGATAAAAAGAAGGAAGAGAGTAGGTGAAAGAACAGAACCCTGTGGGACACTACTATTGGTAGAGAAAGAGCGAGAGATCGATTCCTCAACAACAACTGCCATGGATCGGTTCTCAAGGAAGCTAGAAATTAGAGAACAAAGTGGGGGAGAGTAACCATAAGTGGGAAGTTTAGAAAGCAAAGACTTGTGCCATACCTTGTCAAATGGTTTGGAGATGTCGAGGGCCACGACGAAAGTTTCCCCCAAATCCCAAAGAGAGGATGACCAAAGATGGGTGCAGTAGGAAAGCAGATCACCAGTAGATCTCGCCTGGCGAAAGCCATGCTGGTGATCTGACAAAAGAGAAAAGCGTTCAAGGTGACGAGGAAATGAGAGTTAAAGATTGTTAAAAAAGTCTTAGAGAGGGATGAAGTTAGGGCAATGGGGCATTAGAGGGATTAGAATGGTCACCCTTCTTTGGGATGGGCTGAACCAAGGCATGCTTCCAAGAAGAAGGAAAAGTTTGGGTTTTGAAGCAAAGGTGAAAGAGGTGAACAAGCACAGGGGCTAGAATTTCAGCACACTCCCTCAGAACAGGAGGGGGTATTCCGTCAGGTCCATGCGCCTTACTCTCATCCAACCTGGATAACACTCCAGCTACCCTACGAGTGGAGATTATAGGAAAGTGCATAGGTTCAGTAGGAGGAGCAGGGGTAGGAGGGATAGAGCTGGAATCATCTAAGGTGGAGTTAGAGGAGAATAAGGTGCCAAAGAGATTGACGTTATCAGGGGGAGAGTTGACTATAGAGATATCAGGTCGAAAGAGGGAGTGCCGAAGTTATTACAGATGTTTTTGGTTAAGGACCAGAAGGATTTACTAGAAGAAGAGTTAGTTAGGACAGCGATCTTTCTTTTTATAAAATTCTGCTTGGCCCTACGAAGAATGGCCTTACAACGATTCCTAGAAGTAATGAAAAAGGAGTGGGTAATAGGAGGAGATAGTTTCATGATAAATGCACTCATACCACCTTGTATAACCCCAGCAATGCTGTTAGCACATACCGAGGCATCCCTAGTGGAAAAGCAACACTCATCCCAAGGAAAGTTGGAGAAAAATTCTGCCAAGGATTGCCAGTTTGCCCTTTGATAGTGCCACAGTTGACATTTAGAGGGGGAGTGGGGGAGGTGGTCATGCCTGGTTTGATTTAAAAGAAATAAAACTGTGATCGGAAGACCCTAAGGGGGCAGAAATTGAGTATGAATAGTGTGAGGGGTTAGAGGTAAAACAAAGATCAAGAATGTTAGTTAGTTGATTGTGTCGATCAGGAACACATGTAGGGTGTTTAATTATTTTTTTCAGGTCATTAAGTAAGGAAAAAGAGAGTGCCTCAGCTCCATCTGGGTCATCCCTTGCAGAGCCAAGCCACTCTCTTTGATGTACATTGAAATCCCCTAGGTAGAGGATCTCGGTGTTGGGGTGTGTGGATAGCAACGACTCATGGCAAGAAGTGAGATAGTCAAAGAGTTCCAAATAGTTGGTAGAGTTGGGAGAACAGTATAAGAAACAAAGAAAAATATTCATAGTTGGTAGAGATATTTTGAACCAGATGACATCATAAAGAGAAGATTCAAGATCCGTGAGTTGAGCTATAGGTGTACATGTGTTGCAGGAGGCACATACACCTCCCTTAGAACAGAAAGAGGTATAAAGGTTGTAGTTGGAGACTTGAAAAAGTTTGGGCAAAGCTGCTTTGGTCAGTTTGAAGTTCAAATACAGTAGTAGTAAGAGGTCGGGGGAAGAGGTTAATAGATGGTGCTCCACAGAAGGAAAATTGGATCTCAGGCCACGAATGGTGGAAAAATGAAGTGTGAAAAAAGCTAATCCTCCTGCAACCGCGGTGGCGTCAGTTGAGACCCCAGTAGTGTGATGATGATCAGGTCGGCCCTGGGGTCCACAACCTTCCCGACCAGTGGGACCCATCCGAGAAGGCCTTGCTTCAATATTATTGTCAACTGATATCATAGAAGAATAAAAGAATAGAACAGATCAAGAGTGAGAACGGTTATATATGTTGTGTTTTTAATAGTACGAGAGACAATTGAGACCCTGCAATTGTGTGTAAATGAGGGGCAGAAAGGCAGATCAGCAATCTGGGACTTGGTCACAATTTTCGTTATGCCGTATGGCAGCAGGGTCTACCATTAGACAACACATTTTGGCTGCCTTCATTATTTTTAGTAGACAGTCAAGCTTTTATGTGATTTTTCTCTCTTAGAGAGTTCTCCTCTGAAGGAGAGGTCATGAAAGAGCAATCTCCAGGTTCATATCACTTCATGTTGTTTGTGCCTTCTGTACTGATATTTATGACATTTATAAATGTAATGTACACTGCATTAACATACTTCTCATCGTCTACGTGTTATGCAGTTTTGATGGACGTGTGGTCGCCAAACTGCCATTTCTCCCCATCTCCTGGCTTCAGGGTTTGAGCCACCGTAACCTACTAGGTGATGACTACACTGACTGCTCCTTCATCTTCCTCTACATTCTTTGTACCATGAGTATCAGACAGGTGTGTATAAGATGCCTTGATATAGTATTATGTGGGTCATGAGTATCAGACAGGTGTGTATAAGATGCCTTGATATAGTATTATGTGGGTCATGAGTATCAGACAGGTGTGTATAAGATGCCTTGATATAGTATTATGTGGGTCATGAGTATCAGACTGCCTTGATATAGTATTATGTTCTCCCCATCTCAGACTGATGCCTTCAGGTGTGTATAAGATGCCTTGATATAGTATTATGTGGGTCATGAGTATCAGACAGGTGTGTATAAGATGCCTTGATATAGTATTATGTGGGTCATGAGTATCAGACAGGTGTGTATAAGATGCCTTGATATAGTATTATGTGGGTCATGAGTATCAGACAGGTGTGTATAAGATGCCTTGATATAGTATTATGTGGGTCATGAGTATCAGACAGGTGTGTATAAGATGCCTTGATATAGTATTATGTGGGTCATGAGTATCAGACAGGTGTGTATAAGATGCCTTGATATAGTATTATGTGGGTCATGAGTATCAGACAGGTGTGTATAAGATGCCTTGATATAGTATTATGTGGGTCATGAGTATCAGACAGGTGTGTATAAGATGCCTTGATATAGTATTATGTGGGTCATGAGTATCAGACAGGTGTGTATAAGATGCCTTGATATAGTATTATGTGGGTCATGAGTATCAGACAGGTGTGTATAAGATGCCTTGATATAGTATTATGTGGGTCATGAGTATCAGACAGGTGTGTATAAGATGTCATAATTTTATTGTACTGTACTGTATTAAAATTATGAGAATAAATCAGGGTCCAGAATACTGCCTGCCCACTTGCCTGAGACAGTTTATAATGGAAACATGCTGGCTCAAAAAATATTGACACCTGCCAATCAAATACAGTGATATCCCCGTTAGCCGGAACAATTGGTGCAGAGCACTTCCGGGCATGAGAGTTTCCGGCTAACTAGACGACTTTCTCAAACCCTGAAAAATACCTTATCCCCGGAATCTTTTCCGGTTAGTGGGAAAAGTTTCTGGGTGTCTAAACTAGGTATCTTGCACACACAGACACTAGCCCACTTCTCCAAAATGTTTCTGGGTGCTGGGGATGTTTTCCTTGAGTCTAAACTACTGGAGTCCATAAATTCAGTTCTAATTTAGTTAGAAACTCCATTTCTTTACTACTGTATAATAATCCAGAATAGTTCATTTAAAAGTTTGGTTAAATAAATATATTTAAAAATAAAAAATACATACAGTCAACCCTCGCTTTACGAGGTCCCACTTTACGCGTTTCCACGTTTACGCGGTACCCTGCCGAACACGGAATGCTCACTTTCCGCGGTGTGTGTACCCTTTACGCGGAGAGTGGCACGAGCAGGGTGAGCACAAGGTCGCCCAGTCATCAAAACATTACCGAGTTCTTCACCTGCCACCCACCACAGCCGGCCCAAGTCAGTGATAATGATAGTGAGGATATGGACTTATATGGACTTTGAGGGGCTTGACAAAGAGGCCCTGCAAGCCTCTGTGGTGGATAGTGATACAGTTGATACAAGTGATACAGGTGAGGGCCAATAATCTGCCCTCTGCCTCAGAACCAACCCCCGTGTGCCCAGCCATCTTTCCTACTAATGTAAGTGTTAAAAAGCCTAATATTATTGATATTTCTCTTAATTATTAATTGTGTGTGCATACCATCATAAAAGAAGAAGTTATTTTTACTACAACATAGGTATTGTGTCTGAAAAAGTGGAGTTTGGGGGTCGGCCCGGTCTCTATTTCAATTAATCCCATATGTTATGTTGTTCACTTTACACGTTTCTCACTTTACGCGGGCCGCCGTGGGTTCAATTGACCGCGTAAAGTGAGGGTTCACGGTATATATGATATGGGTGTGAATGAAACTGTGTGTGACAAGAAAGACTGGTATTTCCCCCATGGAGCTGTGAGGGATTAATGGGTCTCGTGTAAGTGACCTAACTGACACAATGTCAGGTGGAGGTAGGGTGGGGATTAGTGGTCTCATATTACTGACCTCCTCATGGAATGTCAGGTCACTCTTTTTTGGTTGGGGGATTAGTGGATCTTATGACCTGAAGATGTCTTGAATAAACACAAAACCTTAAGTATTTTTAGGGAGATTATGATAAGTTTAAGTATACTGTAATTGAGGGATGAGAGGGAGAGTCATGCTGTCAGTTTCCCCCCTTTCCTACCTCAAGTGTGGCTTTATTGTGATAGGGATATGAATTTGATACCATAATGATCCTTAATAAATTCCATACGAGACATTTCCAATAAGATATCCTTAAACAAAATATTTTGATATGTAATGATGGGTATTCCATTCTTTTATATAAAAAATTAAGAAATGTTGATACCGGAGTCAATGAAATCAGTTTTAATTTCGTTACACATTTTTTTTCTTCTCAAAATAATCCTGAATACTTTATCTAGAAGTTTGTTTAAGTAAATATATTTAAAAAAAAAAAGCTCTATATGATACGGACGTGAATAGAGCTGTGTTACAGCAAAGAGCCTGGTATTTTCCAAGAGTAAACAATGCAGCTCTTAGGAGCTGTAGTTATTTAAGCAACCACATACAATATTGTTCATATTGTAAACATAATAATGTATACTACCGTATTACTATACTGTTTATACAGGTTGTACCTCTCTAGTCCGGCAACCTCGGGACCTGACCTGTGCCGGACCATGGAAATTCACCCTTTTCCTGGATAGATAGTGACTTGTGCTTACACTTGGAAGCACTAGCACCACTTTCTCTGCTTCATGGTCTCTTTGAAGACATAATGAAGGGTTAAATGTCGTACAATAGCTTTTCACATTTCGTGAGTTTTTAATTCAACGTTTTTTATTTGAACACACAAAAAAAACACAATAAAAAAATTTTGACGGCGGAAACTAGAATTTCGACGGGTTTGAACAACCCACCAATGTTCAGACGACGTGCACAATCGTGTAAACAGCGTCATTTCTCATATGTACAAAGAATTCATTATTGTTTATTACTGAAAGTCTTTTTGATTGAATTAATGTTTATGTGTGCAAAATGAGTAATACAATTCATTAATAATACGTAGAATATTGAAACACGAGGAAATGAGACAGCATCGTTTTCGTTGATTACAAAACCAGTGACTGGCTGGTTCTACATATAAAACTGAAGAAAATAAGACCCTGGTTGTAGCTGTAGTAAAATTAATATGGTTGTTTTAAGTACCGTAATGTTATTTAATGTTAATAAATGGAACAATAGAAGTAGCTAACGATAATGGTAAAGAAAAAAAGAGAGATCGCGTATGTAAGTGCGCACATGTGAAAACATATCGTCATTACTTTACATAAGAATATGAAAGCAACACTTATTTACCGTTCATATATATTTTAATTCATGTTTCTGAATTTGTTTTTATTCAATTAATGTTTGTGTGTGCAAAATGAACAATACAATTTATTAATAATACGTGGAATATTAACACGAGGAGACGAGACGGCTGCCGGCATTGTTTTTGTTAAAGCTTACAAAACCAGTGACTGATTGGTTCTACATATAAAACTGAAGAAAATAAAACCCTGATTGTAGCTGTAGTAAAATTAGTGTAAAAAAATTAATGTGGTTGTTTGAAGTAATGTTATTTAATGTTAATAAATGGAACAATATAAGTAGCTAACCATTAATGGCAAAAACAAAAGTGAGACTGCGCATATGTAAGTGCGCACATGTGAAAACATATCATTACTCTACATAAGAATATGAAAGCAACACTTATTTACTGCTCATATATATTGAAGGGTTAAATGTTGTGCTCTGCATAGACAAGCAGAGAGAGAGAGAGCAGCCGAACTGCTGGATGTAAACAAACCATAATTTCCCGCGGCTTTGTTGTTGTTTTTTTTTTACGGGGATTAGCCCACCCGGGCATAGGTCACTGACCCACATTGGGGCCTGAGGGGCAAAAATTTAATACTCCTGTAATAATAATAATAATTCAGGAAAAAAAAAAAAAAAAGCTGCCTATCTACCAATTGGGCAAACTAAAATCGTTCCGGATCACGGGAGTTTCTGGACCACAGAATGCCGGACTAGAGGGGTACAACCTGTATTGTACTCACCAGCAGATCTGATCATCTTTCGCCTAGAGGAGGCACACACTTCACTCAGCTAACTGTAATACATAGTGCAATCACATCTTAAAACTTGCCATATATACCGATCTATATCTTTATTTTATTTTTATTTATTTTTTTTTTTACATTAAATTCAGTCTTACAGGAAGTTCCTGGTTTATAATCTTAATGTGTTCCTGAAAATATTTGTAAACTGGATCAAAAAACCCAATGAAACAATTATATGAATAATTAATTGGTCTTCAGATAGAAGTGATAACCACATTTTTTCAAGTAAAAACATAAATAGATACACAGTTAGTTATCAAAATATAAATGAATATGTTGATATTATAAAACGTTGTAGTACAGTACCATGGTTATGGGTATTTGCTTCTTATCACCAATTGCTAATTGTTATTCAGTGAAAATGTTCACCAAATGAATGATCATTGTAAAACTACAACACATCACAAAATGTGTATGGCACCACTGAAACAAAGCAGGTGCATTATGGGAAAATGCTTGTGTGCAAAAGCAATGCACAGTATGCCCATGCAGTGTTTGTTTTCCTGCATTCAATTGTCTATTCCCGCTTTTCAACAATCAGTGGCAGTATGTTAAAAAAGCTGTGTTTGTCGGAGTAGAATGATCGGTTACCAAGGATTATAGGATTACGGTATCTATATCACTTAATATATCAACAAATCTGTTACCTGACTTCTCTCATATCTACCACTAAACTAATCCATCTGTCAAGTGTCTTATTCATCTTTCATTCAGTTGATATATATGTATTTGCTTAGTGACTCCTCAACCTGTCTTTTGACCTGACTTAGGCCTACTCTCGCATTTTATTATCTAACATGTTCTCTTGCCACCTAACTTACCCATCATTCTGTCTACTTCCTAACTTATCCATCATCTAACTCGTCATTCTGTCCGCCATCTAACTTATTCATTCATCCACCATTTTTTTAATTATCCATTTTGTCAACTTGCATATTCACTCATAACTCACATACTTTACTCATTCATCCATCTCCTAACTTATTCATTCATCAGTCTCCTAACTTATTCATGCATCTCTAACCTAATTCATTCATCCATCTTTCTCTGAACTTATTTTCCTGTACTTAATCTGTCACCTATGTCCTACATCACAATCATTATATAGAAACTGTTTTGTAGTTTTGTCATTTTATTTTGTCTGTCTATCCATTATGCTACCGTACGTACTAGTTTTATGGAATGAGTCGAGGAAAATGGATAACTCACCAGAGGGGGGAAAGGTAGACGAGAGGAAAAAGCTGAAACAACATGCTATGGACCCTTTTCCCAAATATTATGTACTGTATCTCATACACTATAAGAGCAATTACTAAACTTATTCACAATGCCATGACAGGACTCACTTTTGGAGACATCGATAACCATTGGCACCTTATTTATTGCTTATGGGAGGAGATTTTTTTTTTTTATCATTAGTTCCTACCTTGTAACTAAAGAATCTTCTCACTGATGAGTTGAATACTGTATTCTGTACCCTCTACTGTACAGTATTGATTTTTTTCCTGGACAAAATAGTTGTGTATGTCTAGGGTTCACTGGTGCCTAAATATGTTCTTAAGTATTGAATCTTTTATAATATACCTGGTATTTGATATATTGCAGAACATCCAGAAGTTGTTGGGCTTTGCACCATCGAGAGCAGCGAACAAGCATAGTACTAACTTGTTTGGACCACAGCCGCAGCAGTTGAGTGGGTATAAATAAACAAACCAGCTTGTTTGGATTACCAGTTGATGACTCATCACTAACACACAACAAGAGCATCAACTTCAGATCATGAGCATTGTTCCACTGTGTGAATGATGCTCTATGTGATAAGATATTTGATTTGGTTAATTATATGAACCTTCCGAGTGTAATTAAGATGAAAGATTTACTGTTGAAATATCACCCGGATGAAAAAGTACTTTTATCAAAGTTATTGTTTCAGTACAATCGACAGATTTAGTGCTCTGAATTACTTCAGATGAACAAAATACTCACATCTTTGGCATTATTTAAGGATGATGGTAAGATATAATGCATTGATTTCAGTCAGATGAAAGAAATACTGTTCTTGTATCATTACTATTATGTATGCAGGATTGAGTATCCTGCATTTATGAATATGAAAATCATATGTGACTCAGTCCAAGAAATGGTAACTAAGCTTTAGTCCTAGATAACAGAGTAGAACCTGTGATTCAGATGACGATGGATCTGCAAGCCACTACTAAATCGCTAAACCCTGAACTCCTAAAGGAAATATGTGTCATTTTCATAGTGATGAAAAATTGTATTTTTATTTATTGTTTACTTAATGACTATCTGCAGTACTTTAGTCTCTTTTTGTTGATGAGGTTAGTCCCAAGTGATTTAATTCATTTATGGTTACAGGTAGTTCTGCTATAACGCGATAATTGTGTTCTTGTAAAATATCGTGTTATAGAAAATCGTGTAATAGAAATAACAGGGCTTATGGAGAAAATAGGGTTAGGTGCAGATTACTCGAAATCGAAAAAATTTAGTAGTTAGCCTAACACAAAGGATAGCACAGTCTAAATAAATGTTACATTCATATCTAATAATGAAATCATACAGTAAATGTAACACTTTACCTTGAAAAATATGAATGTAACTTGATGGGGGAGAAGGGTGATTTTGAGGTTAACATCATCGAGCTTCTTTTCAAGTGTTATATCCTTTCTTTTACGATTATCACCTGGAATTCTATCACCAGAACGCTTCTTGGAGATATTCTTCTTTACCATATTCACAATTAATACCACAAAATTGGAGAAATAGTAAGCAAAAATCGCGTTATAGCAAACAAGCGTTCGCGTTATACAAATATCGTTCCTAATTCATAAATCACATTTAAATTTCGCACCTGGTCAAACTCAAAGGAAAATCATCAGGAAATATTAGAAATGACAAAGTGATAATTGACACCTCTTGGATGATGACCTCAGGCTATTTCTTGCCTCTTCCCCCCTTCAATGTTTAAAAAAAAATGCAATCAGAATTGGTTTAAAAAAGTTTCATAATTTCTTACATTTTGGTTGGAATCTAAAAGGGGTTTAGGGTTTGAGTGTTTTTCCAAATTGACCTGTTCTGAATCCAGGAAATCAGTGGCCTTAATTTCAGGGCTTTAGGGACAAAACATCTTACATTTGTCAACTTCATATAAGTTTTTCTTGCATTTACTTAAGACTTCCGAAGATGCTGATTAGCAAAGAACTAAAGAATTGATGTACTGTATTTCAGGGTTTCCATGTATTTGCACTTATAGCTCTGTACGTAGTTGGAAAAATGGCCAGTGCTTGAATAGTACTAGACACAGGACCATTAAACCCAATTATTTTTTAGATGGCACAAGCCAATCAAACCCAGCCTAACCTAACTAAAAGTAGCTCTGGGTACTGTACAGTACCACTTACAAGGTCCTGTTTGTGTTACGTGTTTAGCACTGTGCATCTTTCTTGTAATCCAGGACTGAACTTGGTGCTATTTCTAGGTGTGTTTGATGTGTTTACGAGTATAGTGTAATAAGGAGTACTGTACTGCACTCTACCTAGAACCCAACATTACTGCAGGAAGAAAGTGTAGATAATCTGACACGAACCATTTTTCCCAGCCAAATAAAATTGCAGGTAGATTTTGCAATATTTATAATTTTGACGGTTAAGTTTTTTGAGAGTTGTAGCTTTCTTGAAGTGGCTCCTGATAAACTTATTTATGATTTATTGAGTATCCAGTATAAACTGGTGAAAGTAGGTAGTACTGTATATAGTCATTCAGTACATGTCCTTGGTATATAATATTTAATTGTTATTTACATTCTCGGCAATTAAGTCCAAGTAAATTGAACAATGAAGCTGTAGTTCAGGGCTTATTTTACTGTAACATTATTTCCCTTTCAACATGTGGTTAGAGAGAGTTCAGTAGCCGAGCTTTGATTCATTGGAGCTCGTGAGGTGTTTCTAGAACAGACAGTAAACACTAATGTAACCTGATCATGCCTACCCTAGGATCATTAGGTTTGGTTGGCTGATGTCATTTGCTATTACAGTACAGTATATTGAAAGAGTCTGGGAATATATTTTTTTTTTAACTTACTGCAATGTCAACCAACCAGTTATAACCAGGCACTCTCTACCAGCATGGTATTTATCGAAAGTTACTGGGCTTAATATTTTTAAAACAAAAATAAAGAGGCAATTCTATACAGTATTTTAATTGTATGAATGATGGTATAATTCTTGATTGAATTTTAAATATGTTGTTATACAGCATTCTAAATCTCTTGTGAGATCTTGAATGTTTTTAGTACCATCTTGGTTATTTATATGTAATTGAGTTAATTATACGTATAAATATATATATATGTACAAGTATGTTGTTTTATTTACGTTGTTTAAGTGTTTATTACGTAACAATGTGTTGAAACTGTAGGGTATCAATTATTTCAATTTAATTAGCCTTTTACAGACATTAGGACTACTGAAGTTTGTATAAATGTGAGACAACAATGGGCTAAGGAGTGACTTAAAATGTCAGCAAAAGACATTGGGATTGTGAACTCAAAATATCAGGTATAGTTTGTACAGTAAACACTTGAAAGTAGAGACAATTTGGGGGGAAAGGGGGTCTGGACTTGCCAATTGTCCGGACTTTTACCATTATTTTTTTTTTATTATTATTTTTGGGTGGGGGGGGGAGGGAGGAGGAGGAGGAGTCCTTCTGGGGGCCACTGTGCTCTAAGCTGCAGCCACTCGTTCACCTCCCTGATAACCCTTAAATTTGCATTCTTACGGACACCACCCACACACCCCAACACCACCCACACCCCTTTTGGTTTCTGAGCCCAACATAAATAACTTTGTTTTTAATGGGGATACTGTACAGTGGTCTAATCAGATTTGATATAGGCCTTACTAGAGCTAATAGGAATGAGACTTTTTTGTTTTAAATTTGCCACTTACAGAAGCTAGTTTATTGTGCACGCCATACTCATCCTGTGAGCAACTGTAGTGGATTTCTCCCCTACAAACGCTGTTTGTCGCTGAGTAGCTGACCCCACCCCAGTGTATGCCTCGTGGTCTAGGTCAACCAGCGCCGCCATACATCACTGAGTGGGGGTCAACTACTAAGCCACGCCTACCCCCAGCTATTTAAGACCTGACCTCGTGGTGATCTCTCTCTTTCTACCTACACCAACCAGCCAGCAACACCTCCTTCCTCGCTCCTGCCGGCGAGCATGGCGACCCACAAGCTGTCCTCTGAGCATCCTCACCAACCAGCTCTCTCTACATCACGCTTGTAACCAAGCTGCATTGTACATCCAATACAACATGTATACAGAGCACATTGTGAGTTTCCTTTCTCCATCCCATCCCGAGTCCTAACACAAACACATCATACCCTACACAACTACTGAGTGCAAAAAAGTGGATAGAATCTTATTGTGTCGGCTACCTTGCCATTAGAGATAAAGTGCTGATGTCATGGTCACGTTTGTGCAGTTAGTCCGTTCAGCACTTAATTATTCATATTATGCTACAGCGCCCACTAAACATGTGAAACGTTTGAGTCCCCCAGTAGAGACGTCCGTTCTCTATCCGCTTCAGGATGTCTTAGTCCTCCGTTTTTTTTGTGTACTCACTCAGGGACTAGAGTATTTTTTAATTAACAAAGGATACTCAGGGAATTTTAAATTATGAGTAAATGAATTTATTGTACAGTCAATTAGGTGCACCCACCATAAGAGGAAAGACTAGATGTATTGAGGGTAAATTTGCACTTGCACACCGTTATAAAGTCAAAAATATATTTTTCTAGTGTATTTGTGTGTGTTTAGACCGAATATGACCTTCATTCCTGGTGGAAATTAGCCGGGTTTTTTTTCGAATTTTTTCGTTGGACGTTTTCCGAAAAAAAAATGGCTAAGCGAATAAGAAATACACCAAAAAACACTAGAAAAACAAAAAACAACCCTAACCTAACTGACTCTCACCAAATGATGGAATCGCCTATTTCTTACCTTACTGTTCGTCGTTGGGTTCTGAGATTCTTACACAACGCCACATATGTTGGTCTTTGCGATATTTATATTCAGTCTTGCACTTAGTACACTTTACTGAGGTTGGAAGAACACCATGCGATCGAAAAAATGCTATAGTTTCTTCGGGTTTTTTTCCCCAAAACTCGCAATCAGCTCCATATAATTGAAGTGACACCCATCGCAGACTTCCATGGTGGGAAATGAATTTGAATTTCGAAATATGAGACCCAAAATAAAACTCGAATTTGATTGGGCCGAAAATACCGCGAATTAAACCTAAAATCATTTTAATTGGTTGCAAAAACGAAAACGTTTTTGATTGGCCGCGTGACGTGTACGGGACAGCAGGAGACCCGCAGTGTGAGAGGTGAGGTAGGCGATAATGGCGGAAGTTTATTGGAAGAAAATAGAGAAAATTTTGGATACGCTTTCTCCGTTATTATACAATTCCGCCGGTAATGAAATAGATGAAAATTATCTTATAATTAAACATCTTATTCGAATATGATAAAAGATTAGTGGTAGGAATGTGTTGTGTGTAAGCGCAATAATACCCCACAACCACCCAAACTACTCGTTATCAACAAGGCAACGAAGTAAACAAAGAGTCAGGAGTTGGTTTCTGATTGGCGGAAATCCTTGCCGACTTTTGAGGGGCAGGTGATACCTAGGCCCAGTCAGTTCAGCTCTCAACACCACCAGCGGCTACTTGTCTCACCCTGTTTTTCTGTCGTGGAATGAGCCACTGTTCCAGCACTAACCTGTACCCGAGGAATCTACTGGCCATTTAGTATCACGTGTATTATTACAGCTGAGCATGTTCTTTTTTTCACCCTTGTATACAGGTTTTCAGTGTTTGTTTAGGATAAGTATATTATATTTAAGAAACACTTGCATCTTTTTCCTGTCCTATTACTTATACTGTGTTGGGTAATGTCATGTCAACAATGAATGTGGTATGTACTAATCATTTAAGTCCAGTAATGCTATATAACTAATCCGTCAGTAAAAAGACGAGGAAGGTGAACAGCTGGAGTTAATGTCTAGAATTCTTAAGCTTGAATGTTATACGTAGTGCTCCATTCTATCTGTATGTTAATTGTTACGAGTTGGGGATTTAGAATATAGTTAAAAGTCTACCCAGATCCCAACAGGCAACAACAATAAAAAAACTTAAATAAACAAAGACAATCGGACTATAAAAGGGTAGACAAAGGATGCGAGTTTTTGTTGTGTATAATAAAGTACCATAAATTCCTTAACAAAATATTCAGCTTTCTATAATTTACCCTTAACCATACTTAACCTAAACATACGCAACATTGGCTTAACAGTATATACATATTTATACAACATACAACATTTTGAAGCAAGTGGACGTGGGGAGGCAATATAGGATAACAAATACTTAAGTGCGGAGCTGAGATGGCTGATGAGTAAGGCTGAGT